CTCTAATGATAATAGCAATGGATTTAAAACTACTCAAACTATCATTAAACTCATTTATAATGATAATGGTTTTATGGCTACTCAAGCCAGCATTTCAAATAATAGTTCTCAATAATGGATTCATAGATACTCAAGATACCATTATACTCTCAAAAGGTACTCATTAATCATTATGTAAATCCATTGACTCTGAATTATTACCGTAGACTATAGCTATAACACGATCCCAACCTTCTACGATAACTGCTATGACATTTCTACTTAGTTGTAACTATTTGGACAGATTTATCATTAGGTCATTCTTAATAATAATATCTATTAGTCGTAGCCTTCAACTACATTCATCAATTATAATGATAAGCATTCGTTTTGTAACTCATCGTACTCTCTCTATAGACTCATTAACTTTCCTTATGCCCATCCTCTCCCCTATCTCTTTTTCACTATGCTTATTCTTTTTCTCTCTCTACTCTATCTACTCATTCTCTTTCTATCTCTACTCTCTCAGTACTCATTCTATTTTTCTATTTCTACTCTCTTGACTCATTCTCTTTCTCTATACTCAATATATATATATACTAGTTGTGAAACCCGTATATTATACGGGTTAATTAAAACATAATATTAAACAGGAGCGATTAAATGAAAAGTTTATTTGAATTTGAAATATGAAATAAGTGAAAATTATAAAATAAAAAAAAACATGCAAAAAATAAATTAATTAAAGTTATGTGTTTAATTGTTAGACCCGTGTACTAAACGATTTATTATAATAAAATGTTAAATACAAATATTTAAAGTGTAAATTTATTTGAAATTGAAATTTGAAATTTAAAATTTGAAATTAATAGTTATTATAGTAGGTTTAATTTATGAAAAATAAATTAATGATATGGTGGAAATAAATAATGAAGTAATTGACAAGTGGAAAATAAATATAATTTAAAATTATGACAAAATGACATGTGGCCAAATAAATAAGAGAATGACAAGTGGCAATAACATTTTCATTTATTAGGGTATATATATATATATATATATATATATATATATATATATATATATATATATATATATATATATATATATATATATATATATATATATATATATATCATCCAACACTCATTAGTTTAATTAAATTGCCATAAATTGCTATAACTCTTAATTACTCTACTCAATAAATCATATAACATTAATCAAGAAAAATTCTCAATTGTACCAACTACTCCCCTCATACAATATCAATTAACAATAGTTCATACAAAATATTGTATTTTGAACATACACAAAAAAAAATATCATAAATCTAGATATTAATAATATAAATAGGATAATGTTACTCTCCCAGAATATATTAGGTGTTTGGGATTCTAGGTCTTGAAGTCCTGTCACAGCTCTCGTCCCTTGTGTTATGAAGATAATACATATTTCTTAAATATCATAACACAAGATTTTACTTTATTATGTGTTTGACTCATCGTTATTATCTAATACATAATACTTAATTATGTAGCTAGACTCATCAAGCTTACCATCATGTTAATAATCTCTCCAAATTATAAACACTAACATTTATCTCGAGTTCTAACAACACCTTCATAATCACACTACATAAACATAACTATGTAATAGTGAGATAAGATGGTAACTTACTTCATTCGGTAATATTACCCTCGTATATACTAGCATCAATAATCTCATTGTCCAATTATAAACTGCCTCTACATGCTCTTATTCTCATTATGTGAAAGAACCACCGAAAGAGACTTTGAACTCTTTATATAGTGGCTGAGTTTGTGACAACGTGTCATTTCGTATACAAGGATGTGTCACATCCACTCATACTAGAGCTTGCAATGCATCTAACTTCAAGCTAAGTCTCACTTTCTCCCGTGGCATGCATCTCGCCCCTAATACATGTGATAAACACTAGGATACCTCAACACATCGCATCCTCTTACAAAAGCGACGCGTTATTATTCAACATTTTAAGTTATAGAAATGTACATACCTATAACGTCCCAAATACTACCCTTGTATGTCCCAAAAATAATAGTAAATTTGAATTTTAAAAACAATCTTTAACTAACTAAAAAATATTACTTTACTATCTTTTATTTTACAAAAAAAACCAAAACAATATTCATTTAAATATCCAACCAACCATAAGTAGAAACCTTAAATCTCGCAGAAACAAAAATAAAAACTATATCATAAAATCCTCGTTCTCAACATCGAGCCAGTGCATACTGTCATGCGCTGACATCTTTGTTACATGTGTCACACCCCCAAACCAGAACGACGAGCTGACATCTTTGTTACATGTGTCACACCCCCAAACCAGAACGACGAAAATGTTCGGGGGAAGAGGTCGTCATGTATAGTATCACAACAATTGTATAATAGGAATCAAATCAAACATAGCCATTTCATTAATAATGTAGAGTATTTACATCTGTTCAATACATAAATTGTATGACATCAAAATATATAAGAAAAGTATAAAAGACGTGGCTCTAAAATGCTCTATCTTCTCAAAATCCTGTAGGTGTACCTGTCTTATCGGTTCCCTGAGAATACAACTGATTTTGAAAGTGTAACAACATATAAGTTGGTGAGTTCATAAGTATATTTTAGTACTAGAAAACCTGTCTTTGTACTTTGAAAATACTAGTGTGTTTCTCACAAAAATCCAGTATTTTCTATAGTGAAAGTAGTGTTGTCATGTATGTTTCTTGTATTTTTATATAGTATTAGTGTACTCTATGTTAGAAAATCGTATATTGTATATGTATTTGTATGAATATCCCTTGTATGTATTCCTGGATACCACCAATTGTAGTGAAAGTAATATAATTGTCTGTATAAAACCTAAGTATCAAAACCCGGTATTTACTAATTGTAAAGTAAAGTAGTGTACCATGGTAGTGTTTGCATGAAAACCACGTATGAATGTCTTGTTATTACCAGCTGTAGTGTAAAGTAGTGTACCATAGTTTTATTAATGAAAATTAAACCATTGATATAGTGTTAATCCCGTAAACAAATGTTTTAGTTATACTATTGTGAGTTTCATATAACCATGCTAATATGACATAGTGGCCTCTATGACGTTCTTCAAGAGTTGGTAATATGACATTTGTCACTCGTAGGCATGCCTGCCTAACCGTAGCTAGGAGTTTGGGTGTGAATTTGTCAGTCCCATATACATCTATAAACAAATTTCACGCTCTCCGTCCGGGAGACTCTGGTTATAATTTATAGAACTTAATTATGTGCCCTAATGGGTACTAGTGAAGTAGTACCACACAACCCTATATTAACTAGTTTACGTGTACTGATGTAGCACTGCAGTGTTCTCTTGTACTAGAAACTATATGCATTACTTTGTAGTGTAAAATTAATTATACTTACATAATTATTTTAGTAGTGTATCCTTGTAGTAGTGAAATAGAGTAGTGTTTCCCAAACTATCCCTATTATAGTTTGAATAATTTTTTTTCTATGTATTATTCTTAACGAAGTAAAGTGGTGAATCCCAAACTATACCAATTATAGTTTACTCGTAATATTTTGTAATGTACTAAAAATGTTTGCAATATATTTGTATCGAAGTAAAAATACATTTACGCTCAACTTGTTACAAAAGGGTTAAAATATATAAAATATTTTTAGAAAGTGTAGCGAATAGTTGTTGTGAAACAATTGCAAAGGTTTGAATATTTAAAAATATTTGTATAAACACAATAGTCATTGTGTTTTACTTGTATTCCCCCAACCCCCCCCCCCCCCCCCCCCAAAAAAAAAAAAAAAATTAAAAACATTAAAAATGTAGGACTATGAACTCACCTTGTATGTGCATTTGATTTCGAGTTGTTGTACGTGCGATTGATGTTACCCTAAAATAATTATATTAGACGTCGTATCTAAATTAATAAGAATATTAAATTAAATAGTGTGTTAAGTAATAATTTAATTATAGGGAAGACTTACAATTAATTTGGAAATTAATTCGAAATGGTTGAATTGTGGAAATTGGAGTATTCGGATGGAAAAATGGGGTTTACGATTGGAGGGAATGGGGTTTACAGTTGGATCTTGAATGTTTATGAAGATTTGAATGTTGCTTGAAAATTTGAAGGTGACTATGAATGTTCTTTATTGGAAATATGAAGATTTGAAAATTTTGGGTGAAATCCTTTAAAGATAGGAAGGTTTATGGATGAATATTGAGAGGATTTTAAGGGGTGTTTATGAATTGTATTTGGGCCATTGATTGGGTTACGGTCCACAATTGGACTTGAAATGGTTATCAGCCTATTAATGGGGATGGTCATGGTCATAAAGCAACCGTGAACACTTGTTTCGTTTTTCACTTTGGCCGTAAACCATCATTTGGGAGTGGGCTTGACCATAAACTCCCCATTAGTGGGGTTTGTTGACCGTAAACACTCTTTGGTAGTGTATTACTGGCTGTAAACTCCATTTAGGAGTGTTTTGATGATTTAAAATTTGAATTAACTCAAGTATAGCCCCTTAACTTTGAACTAGTGTAAGTTTGGATCAATCATGTGTCATTTTATATTAAGTGTTTGGCTTTTAGTTCCTTACTTCTATGATTTTCACATGTATTTGTATACTAGTTAAATAAACACACTTGTAGTTTTGAGTTTTATTCACAGGAAATAACGGGATGTCACATCATCCCCTTGTTAAAGGGAATTTCGTCCTAAAAATCTTTCTATAGAGTACAATCATGGACTAGGAAAAAGATGCGGGTACTTTTGTTGCATCTGGTCTTCTCGCTCCGAAGTGAATTCTGGTCTCTGCTTGTCATTCCAACGAACCTTCACTATCGGTATGTGTCTTTGTTTCGTTTGTTTGAATTCCCTATCCATGATCTCTATTGGTTCTTCCATGAAGTTAATACTCTCATTTATCTCTATTTCATCAAGTGGAATCATAAGAGTCTCGTCAGATAGACATTTCTTTAGATTTTACACGTGGAAGACTGGGTGTACATTGCTAATCTCTTGCGGTAGGGCATCGGAGATGTCTTCTAGATCACTTCTAGATGGAGGTTCAATATCAACTAGAGCTGTTTGGGGAGGCTTCCTCGTAGTTCTTTGAAGTTCTACAATAGGTACATCCATTTGTTTAGGGGTTGGTGAGGAAGATTGTACCAATGTATCATTTTCTCTCTTATACACAAAAGGAGGAGTGCCAACAACATCCTCTTCTATGAATGAAATACTTTGTGGAATAAAATTTTCAAATTCATTCTCTGAAAATTCCTTTTCTTGATCCTCTTCTTCTTCAACATCAAAAACTTCAAACTCTTCAGAGGCAAATTGAAATTTTGGTTTAGGAAACATATGTTCCTCGACAACCTCAGCATTAATGAATCTAGGAGTAGGAGTGTTTTCAACTTCAGCAAACTTTCGGAACTTAAACAACTCCTTCAATCCTTGATAAGCGACTATGGAAGCTTTTCTTGATTGCTTTATGAGCCCAAAGGTGTTGGGACCCAAGGCTTTTATATCCAAAGTATCAGACGATCTCTCAATTTGGGGATATTTTTCCATTCAGGATCAATTGAAGAAATTTAGGGTACATTAAAAATAGATATTTTTTCTTTCCCTAAAGGTTACCCTTCATCTCTTCAAGAACAAATTTTTAGAAGTTGTAATCCCAGTTCATAGCCAAAACGACAATGTCTGAGGTTACACTCTGACTAATTTCATCAGAGCCCCCCTTTCCTTCTAGAAATGCAAATAACAACTGAATGTGCTAGGAACCTCCAGTAAGGTAGCAGTAACTTCTTGATGGTGGGAGGATAGGTTACTTCATAACACATCTTTTCAAGAACTTCCTTGACTTGATAAGTAGGGTACTCAATTAGGAATGCAGAAGCATTACCAAATTTAAGTACCTCTCAGATAACTTGTGTTCCTTTCACCATCGATTCAATAGTACCAACTCCATCTGTTCCCTGCTTGTTAATAGAAGCATTTTTTTTCATAACTCAGTAGTCAGATCTTTGTAGATGATTGGATTAGCACGAAGCGCTTGAGAAATCCTGCAATTTTTCAAACCCACCATCATCAATTTGAAATCTTGATGAACATCATGTGGGTCCATGAGATATCCCGCAATATTGTGATAGTCTACAAATTTTAGTTGCTCTACCAGTTATCTGCACCAAACTAGCCAAGTAAGAATTAATTTTAAATTAACTAAATTCATATTGAAATTTGATTTCAATTAAAGTCAAAGTTTTAGTCGTTTTCGGTTAAAATCGAGATTTTAGTCGATTTTGGTAAAAATGATCGATTTCGGTCAAGGCTCAATATCTCCGGTCAAAACATATGTTGACCAGATGACTTCGGTCAATGTTGGGTGATTTGGGAGTTGAAACTTTTGGCACCCATATGTAGTCAGGTTTAATCATTTTCATGTTTAATCAGATGGATGTTTCAACAATAGTTTTGGAGCTTCAAACAGATTGCCGAGATAACTCTGACCTTACAAATATTGGTCTGACTGCACTATTTTTCAAATTAGACTTCTTATCAGACGTGCCCTTTTTGGCCTTGGGAGTTTGATTCTTTCCCTTTTTAGCATTCCAATCACCATTACTTGAACGTGACATTGAAGGATTTCTTGAAATTAAATTCATCATCCTTAAATTTTGCCTTTAATGCATCGAGTTCAGTAATTAAGTTAGCGATTTTCACAAAAAAAAATCTGACCGAAAACCAAAATAAATGCTCTCTGACCGAAAACACCAATAGTCAACACCCTGTTGACCAAGAACCTTGAAGGTCAAATTACTTGACCAAAATCCCTGAGAGTCAATTGATTGACAGAAAACGGCTGACTAAAAACTGTATATCTTGACCGAGAACTCTTCCAGAACGACAACCCTATACCTTTGTACCGAAAACACGAAGTAGTCACCGAGAACTCTGAGACCTAGCCAAAAATGTGGTTATTGATCAAGTATCCTTATCCAGTGAATCCCAAATTTTGGTAAGTTATCAAAGACGATTTTCTAAGGTTATGATTGTTGGGTTATGAGCATTCTATCACTCCTAAGTGTACATGCAACCCTAAATACCTTGGATCTATGTTTTCTCTATTATACATGCAAATATGAACATCCAAGGTATTATCCTAATCTAGCATACAAAATATCAATATAACAAGATAGAATACATACCTCTTTAATGGTGCTTGTCTTCATGAAGCTTGAGTGCTTAGTGCCCCAAGTGTGACACCTCAAATGGTTCACACAACACCAAATACACTTGGAATAACTTGAGAGAAATTAGAACACTTCATGAAATCGTCTAGCCCTCATACATACACATAGTGTTTGTCACGATTTCTTGAGCCATGGGTTTCTTTTATATGGTGGCTATTAGGGTTACACCATGTAACTCATGACTTTACCCATTCCTTATGCTCCATGGATTCAAATACACCATGGAGCATCCATGGAACATCATATGGGTTTTGGCCCAACTAGATAATCCATGGAGCATTAGCCCACTATATAAGTATGGATGATTTACACAATCAACCCATATATTTAATTAGTCTTCTTTTGATCACTTAATTAATTCTAGATTAATTCTTGATCAATACTAATTAAATAATCTCATTATTCTTATTATTAATATACTAGAACTTATAATATATTAATAACCGTAAGTGTCTTATTTCTCTCATTATAGTCTATCCAAGTGCATGATGCCATGCAACCCAAATGGACCATGCCGGGTCGGGTCAAGTCTTACCAATTATAGTTATGGACTTAGACATTAATCCAACAGTCTCCCACTTGGATAAGTCTAAAACTATTATTGCGTATGACTTCAGGAACCAACTAGCAATCGTAGCTCTCAAAAGCTTCTGTCGAACTCTGACCTTGTAGATGAACTCTGATCTTGTCAATGACTTGTCCATTAGATAAGGGATCATATATTCCTCCATTCTAGATATCATATGGACTGAGACATGGATTATAATCATTCTCTCTGTCCATTAGTTGTTTCCCGATTTCCGATTTATGACGACTGACTAATTGAACAAATCAAATCAGTCCTGGCCCGGCCGAGCACTTCCATTTGTCATCATCAAATCATCGAGGGGCCCACAGATATCGCTTTTATCCCGAAGGTAAAAGGAATGGATAAACTTCGACTCATATGGCTTGTTCTACTACTTGTTGAATCATACACAAAGACACGTTTTATAACATCGAGTTACCAATGCGTTTCGTGTAATCAATGTACTATCAACTCATAGTAACAACTCATATCTCTAGGTTTGAAGAATATAAGATATTATCGTCTCATGATCACTCGTGATAAAATCCATGAAGTGATTCCAATGAGCGCGGGTTGAATCCAATACTCAGAACTTATGAGCACTCATGAGTGTTGTAGCCCTTTGTCCAACACTTAGACCTCTACAAGCCAACCCATGACAGTCTTAATTCATATCTACTTCCAACATATGACCGACTGTGGATGGTTTGAATAACTTAGTCATTCCGGAAGAATAACCTAGTTTATTCGGGAAGTCAAAACATGCAAAGTGAAACACAATAATAATTGAATCCAATATGGTCTCAGAACTTATGAATATAAATAAAACACTTTTATTTATCACCATATGATTACACATTATTCATTGTATATTGTTTCAGCTATCAACATTATTCTTGAATTTAAAACAATAGTTGTCCCATGCTCCAAGCATGTACACTATGTTTTCTAAACACTAGTCATGCCATACACCAAGTATGCATAATATGTTTGTCTATGATCTTTATTTTGTGAACTAGATCAATGAACATAACTTCAATGATTCTCTTTTCACACTCCCAAATCCTTACTGCAAATGCAAGAATTCCAAATTCATGTCATTTACTGAAATCTGTTAGATTCTAAACTTATATGCATTGATCCTCTTGTAATGATTATGCACAAAGTCAGAAAGACTTAACAACAATCATTACAGAGCATTCCAAAGGAGATCAAGTCCTTGGAACCATCCTTCTTGCATTAAGTTTCCTTAATCTTACACAGATTGAAAATTCTAACTTTGAAACATTTCCAGATTCCATTTCGACTATCACTTCTGAACAAGAGTTGCCTCCTTACAGATTATGTCAATATGGTCCTTCCAGAATTATCACTATACTTCCAACTGTCCTTGAGAAACCAATCTTTGGTAAACCTTAGATTGTCCTCGACAATTGTTTAATCCTTTTAGTCATATCCAGTTCTAAACCTTTTCCCTTCTTAATGCCCTAGGCATTTGGAAAATTTTAGAAAGGATGAATATAGCACATGTAATCGATCCTATATCCGAAGCATATGGGACACGATTCATGATGTCTCACATAAAGACTAAACCAGTCTTTTGCTATAACATTTCCATTTCAATTTGCCAAGTTCTCATAATTCAGATTATGAAAAGGGATGCCGTAATCATAATCGAATTTAAGAACGCAAATAATGGACCCATATACAGAATTTCCTTATGTTGAGCCATTCCAACATGAAATTCATATATATCCTTGACTAAATGATTAAAACCTCACGATCTAAGCTTATAGATTTGAGATGAAGTATAATTTCCTCTCCCTTAATTATAGCAAAACAACTTTTTCCCAATTGAAACCTTTTGTTTTCTATAATTAACATTGCTAGCTTGCAATACTTATCGTAATTATCATGCTCCCACTAACATGATGATTATTAGCATAACACTTATGCTCCCACTAGCTTTGACATGTACTCAGAAATCAGCTGGACTTCTAGAAATCAATACTTTATTGACTTTCTTACCAAAGTTCAGATTTCTGATACTAGATTGTTTTGATAAGACTTTATCAAAAACATACACCTTCCTTAGATAGCTCATGGGTGTGTCAAAACAATTTTAAGAACTATGAAAAGGGATGCCGTAATCATAGTCTTGATGTTTTGACCTTTGCCATTTCTCACAAGTCCAAGTTAGTGTGCCGGTAAACCACACACGCTCCACTAACGACTTTGAGAATGCAAATATCACAATTGCTATCTAGCTAAAATCTACTTAGTGAAAGTGTTTCCTCACCATCATTTTCATGAATCGGAGAGAAACCTTATGACACTTAGATTTAATGGTGTATGTGTTCTTATCCATGTGAATTGTCAAAACCATAGTCACAAGACAAGGATAATGACAAATCCAAACCATATGGATTGAACTCAATCTTAATTTCTTGCCACCTGGCAGCTCAAGGGCCTACCATTGCTTCCAAGTTGTTGTGCAACACATTGAGAACTCTAAGAACTCATATGCAAAGCCAACTTTAACTAGAATGGGCACAGAATATGTCAACACGATAGGTTATAAACCTCAAGTCGTGTGCTAGTGAAGAACTTCAGGTTTCATTCTTGATTAGTTCTTGAGAATTTCAAGACCTTTAAGACTCCCACTGTCCTCTTGACCTATAAGACTCCTTGTCAAACATCCAAGAGATAGTGTGGATTCTAATCAAGACAAACACTTCACACAATTGGCC